CCAGACCATCGCGAATTTTTTCGCATCGCACTTGTAACCGAAATAATTTCGGCATATATTAGGTGAGACCATCCCAACTCACACAATACATGTGGCCTTATGTAATCATTATCCTGTCGGTATAATTCATTCTTACTTTGATTTCTCCTTTGGCGAATTGGTTGTTTATTAGGTTGTGGATGTTCGAGTGGAACTTTTAGGTAGGACATTTTTCGAGAAATAAATCTCGCGGACAATAAAGCCAACTATTGGTTCGTTATAAAAAATCGGACTCATTATAACACTTTTTTGAAGATCAATCGGAATAATTCAAAAATAATCATAACTTACTAATTGAATTAAAGAAGTAAATATTATATAAGTAGCATTAATTTACGTGCTTATGACATTCATATACTGTTAAGCAAAGCGACGTATACAGTATCTAACCATGTGACTATGATCTCATTGGCTATCAAATGATGTTGATCTTTTTAAAAAACATCGAACCCATTGGAATTAAAATATCCATTTCTTTAGTTCTTTTATATATATTGGTCACACAAAATTAGGGTTTCCTTTTGTTTACAGTTTAATTAAGAAATCTTCACTAATGAAGTATGGCAGAATGTAACAATGTGAACGTGAATTTAAATTTATATTATAATTTAAATTTTAAATATTTTATAATAAATAAATTGATTTTTTTATTAGAATTTAATAAATAATTGTTTTAATTTAATAAAATTTTAAATATTATTTTTAATACTAATAATAAAAATATTAATTTATATAAATATATAACTAAATAATAATTAATATTATTTATAAATAATTTATTTTATTGATCTTCTAACTACTTTTCTAAAGTAACATTTAATATATATATTTTTTAAAACATTATATTAAATAAAACAAAAATTTTTTTCTTACTATTTTCAAGTTTTTTGTTTTTTTTTTACTTTTAAATTGAACAATTATTTTACTTTAAAAATTTAAAAATATCTAAAGCTTTTATATTAAGAAAAGATATTTTAAAAAGAAAAAAAATTTGTTAAAAATTAAAACTATAATAAGTTCTTATTTTTAAATTAATTTTTATTAATTTCAAATTTTTTTCTTTATTATATTTTTTATTTTTTTAAAACTTTTATTTATTTAATTTTAAAAATTAAATTATATCAAATTTACTAAAAATCAATTATATAAATTTTGAATTAAACAATAATTATATATAATGATAATAAATAAATAAAAACATATATTACAAATACATAATTAATTCTATTAATTTGAAAATTAATAATTTAAAGATTTTGTTATATTAAAAATCTTTATTAATATTAATTCAATTATATTAAATATTTTATATTTTATATTAATATAAAGTTTTATAATTAAATTTATTAATCTATAATTTGAAAATATTTTTTTATTATTATTAATTAAAATATTATATATAAATCAAATTTTTAAAAAAATTTTTATTTAAATTTCTTTAAATTTATTTTTTATTTATTATAATTTTGAATTAATTTTATTATTTTTTCATATATATTTATTTAAAACTTATTTATTATTTATTTTTTTAAAGCTTTAAAGCTTTAATATTTATCAGTTGCTACTTGATTATATAATAAATATAATTATTCAAATAGATTATAATTATATTATATATCTGTATTACTATATCAAATTTACAAAGGTAATAATATATAACAAGTTAATTTTTTATTAATTATAATGAATTTAGTGATTTTATTAAGATTAAAAAGTATTATATAATATTTTTATATGTAATTTTTTTATACAATATTATATTTAGACTATATATTTAAAAAGATGAAATATAATTTAACTTAATATATAGTTAACTTGTAATTTAAAAAATAATAAATATAATTATATTGTTTATATATTAATTATTTATTTTTTAAAAGTAGATAGGTTAGCATTTAGCTGTTGTAATAACAATAGACGATGTTTGATATATATGTAAAATTGATAGTTATTCAATAAAATTCCTATATCTAATACCATTCTACTATTAAAAAAAAATTATTTACTTTTTAATATATTAGGCTTCATATGCTACTATATTTGCAAGCAAATTTGTTTGTAAAATATATTAAGGAATAAATATTTACAAGTAAAATCTCAAATATATAAATTTTAAAAATTTTTTAAAAAATAGATTAAATTTATATTTTTAATTAATAATAATAGTATAACAAATAGATGAAAATTTAGAAATAATATAAAAAAATTTGAAAATTTCATTATTCAAATTAATAAAATAAACAAAAATTAGTACTATCAATAAAAAATAATAATTAAAAATATAATTCTCTTATATTTGTATAAAAAATTAATTTTTGTTAAGTAAAAATAATAATTTAAATTTAAAAAATATTGAACTTGCTAGTTAATTTAATATTGGTAAATCGACTATATATAATATATTGAAATAAAAAAATAAATTACTTAATAAAAATCCTAACTCATATATTGTTAATTTTAAAAGAGAACAATTATCAAAATTTCTGCAAATTAAACAATTCTTAATATTATGGCTTAATTAAATAAATAACTCAAATTTATTAATATCAGATAAAATTTTATTTTATAAAGTAACAAACATTATTTGACTTATGAATATTAATAATTTTATAGAATCTTAAGAATAATTATCTTGTTTTAAAAAATAATATAATATTTAAAGTATTATAAAATCTAATAAAACAAATAATATATCTTTAAATAATTTACTACAATTTTATAATGATTTTCAAAATTTTTTAATAATATATAATCTAGACAATATATATAATTGTTATAAGATATATCTTTATTAGAAACTAGAGCTTTCTAAAACTTTTTTAATATATTTTTTTAAGGATATAAAGCAATTAAAAAATATAATAATAATTCTTCTTGTAATGCAACAGAAATATCAAAACTTGTTTTTATTTTTATTTATAAATTTTAAAAAATCTATAATATATGAAAATATTAGATAAAATCAATCTACTAGTACAGTATATTATTATTGGAATAGTAATATATAAATACAATCAAATATTTTTTTATATTGGTTATATAAGTTAAATTCTAATATATAAATAGCTAAATGAAAAATTTTATTGTTAATAGATAATACAATACTACATATAATCGATGAAAATATTTCTTTTAATAATATAATTCTTTACTATTTTCTCTAAACACAATGGCTTATTTGCAATCCTATAATACAGAAATTATATATTTATTTAAAGTAAGTCTATTTGTTTTGATTACTTTAATTATGAATTTAAAAATAACAAAAATTTATTATATTTAAAGTCTTAGTATAAATATTTACTTTATATAAATTAGATTAATACTTATAATAAATTTGTTGCAAGTAAAAAATCTATTACTCTTCTTATTATTATAGATGCAATTACCTTTATTACCAAGCCTAGGATTATATTAAACCGAGTTCAATTTGTTTATCTTAAATAAAAATGAGAATATTATTTCTTTTACTATATAATAATATTATAAATAATAAATTTTTAATATTGTTTAAATTAAATAATAAGAAAAAGATTCAATAACTTATTAA